AGTTATACTTATAAGATTAAGTGTAATTCTGAATTGATTGAAAGAGTTTAAATCAATAGTAGAACGAATAAGAAGAATCAAGTAGGCAGAAAGATAAAAGTTTCTCTATTCTAAGAAGAGGGGAGAGTACCTTTTATGTTTTATGATAAGTCTAAATGATTAAGAACCATATCTCAATTGATCATCTAAGTAAGTCTTAGTACAATTGTATGTCTGAGAAGAGGAATCGAGAATTGAAGAATTGGTTAAATCAAGAAGTCAATCATACTTCGTTCCAAAATAAGTCTTAAAGTTAAGATTGTGACATTGAGTGACAAGTCTTAAGAAGGTTTATAACACTCATCAAATGTAGAATATGGAAAAAGTTTTCTTATTCTTGCACATTTGAAATTGGAAAGTTGTGATGTCTTGGATAAGACAAAGATCAACTAGGACCAATTTTGTGAAGTGTTTTGTCTTGATAAAAACTACACTAACTCTTGAATATTTGTCAAGAAATGTTTTATTGACAAGAGAATCTTATATGTCAAGGAGTCAGTGGGAGTCTTAATGGTCTTGAAAGGTTTCCAGAAAAAATCAAAATAAACCTTATCGAACATCACTAGCACACGACTTGAGGTTTACAACCTATCGTGTTGACATTATCTTGTTTCTGCGCCGTTCCAATCGATTTAATTATGCATGTGAGTTCTATGAGTTCTCATTTGAATGCATAAAAGGCAAGGACCTTAATCAATGAAAAGTACATTGATAGGAAAGGGTGAGCTGCTTAACTACTTGGAAGACATGGTGGGCAGCCGTGTTACCATAAGGGTGAGCTGCTTAACTACTTGGAAGACATGTTCGGTCCATATGAGTTTGGATTTGTCGCAAACTTTGGTTTTGACAAATTCACATGGATAGGAACATACACATACACCATTAAATCTAAGTGTCATAAGATTCCCTCCTTCATGAAAATGAATGTGAGGAAATGCTTTCACTAAGGAAGATTTTAAGAAGATAGTGATTGTGAAAATTGGATTCTCGAATTCGATTATGGTTACGGTATCCCTTTCCATGATTCGAATTGTGAGATTTGGCAATTAGTCTAAATTGTTTAGAGACACATATGAGCTATCTAAGGCAAAGGTGTATAAGCTTAGATAAAGGATTATAAAAGCATATGGTATTAGAAATATGAACTTAAGAAATTCAATAGGTATTGTTTTTCTGTAAGTTAAGCTGTTTTCTAAATACATGTCAATGCTAGTGGGAGCATAAGTGTTATGTTTATAATAATCATCATGATAGTGGGAGCATAAATGTTATGATTTTACGATTATTATGGCAAGTGTTGCAAGTTAGCAATATTAATTATAGAAAACAAGAGTCATACTTTGCAAAGTTGTAAGGGTTGAATAGTTGTTTTGCTATAATTAAGGGAGAGAATATTATGCTTCATTTCAAATCTAAAGGCTTAGGTTGTGGAATGTTAATATCTTTAGTCAAAGATACATAGTGTGTTCTTAAATTTTGATTATGATTATGACATTCCTCTTCATATTTCGAATTGTAAGAACGAGACACATAAAACATTATGGCAGAAGATTGATAAAGTCTCATATATTTATGTAAGACATTATGCATCGTGTCCCATACGCTTCGGGTATAGGATCAATTGCAAATGCTATAATATTTGACCATTCTAAAATTTTCCAAATGTCTAGCGCTTTTAGAGGGAAAAGGACAAGAATCGGTTTTGACTAAGATAATTAAACTAAGATAATTAAACAACTATCAAAGGACAATCCAAAGTTCGCCAAGGATTGGTCGCTTGTGAGAAGTTGGAAGTATGATATTGGACGGAGCATATCGACATTATTATGAGTAGATAAGATTTTATTAAGAATGAGTTGTGATATGGTAAGTATGGAAAGGTTTCCATATTGGGAGTTGGATATTGAGAATCCATGTCTAGATTAGAAACATTTATGCAAAAGGATGTTCAAAGAAAGGTACTTTGAGTGAGAGACATCATATCTATGGAATTGTCTTGTAACAATTTCCGATAGAGAGCTTTGTAATTTCGTTGGCAATAGTCATTGTGACTTTTGTGCTATGACATTACGAAATGATCATTATATAAAATGTTAGAATCTAGTATATTCTATAAGAGACAAGAATTTGATATTCTTTCACTTGTAGAAAGGATTAGGAGTTGTGAAATGAGTATGATTGGAAATCTGTTCATTTGATCTATTTCACAAAGTAAGAACCATTAAAAAACATTGTGTACATGCTAAGAGCATGGGACAAGTGTAATAATTCAAGTAAGAAGTTGATTACCCGAAACGACAAATAATGAGTAATCGATATGGTGATAAATAAAAGGTGTTTTATTTATACTTAAAGGTTTGAGGCCATGTGGGATTAATATTATCCTTGTGTTTCACTTTGCATGTTTTGACTTCCTGAATAATTTAATTGGTTAAGAACAGTCAAATTATTCAAACGGGCCACAATCGTTCATATGTTGGAAGTAGATATTAATGAAGACTATCGTGAATTGGTGTGTGGATTGTCTAAGGAGTATTAGACATAAGCAAATGTTTGCTGCAACGTTCATGAGTGCTTATGAATATGATTTGAGCATTGGATTAAACCCACGCTCACTTGGATCACTTCATGGATTTTATCACGAGTGATTGGTGAGACGATAACATCTTATATTCTTGAAACCGAGATGTGTGAGTTGTATCTTGCGAGTCGGTTGCACATTGATAGTATGTAAACGCACCAGTAACTCAATGTTATAAAACATATTGTTGTGTGTGATTTGGTGAGTAAGTGCAAGCGAGCATTAAGTCAAAGTTTATCCGTTCCTTTTATCCAAAGTAGGATAAAAGCTATATCTGTGGGCCACTCGATGATTTAGTGATGGCACCTAAGCGCTTGGCCAAGCCAGGACTAAATTGATGTGTTCAATTGTAGTCTGTTGTCAGTCGTCATAAATCTGAGTTCGGGAAACAACACATAGACAGAGAGAATGATTTAGATACATGTCTTAGTCTATACGATATCTAGAATGGAGGAATATATGATCCCTTATCTAAAGGACATGCGTATCTGATAAGATCAGAGTTGACAGCGGCTTTAGAAAGCTACGATTGCAAATCATGATCTGAAGTCATACGCGGAATAGTTATTAGACTTATCCAAGTGGGAGACTGTTGGATTGGTGTCTAAGTCCATAACTATTTTGGTATGTACTTGACCCGATGGTGCATGGTCCTTTTGGGTTGCCTTCACCAAAGCAACTTGATAGGATGAATTATGGAGAGAAAGGATTAAATATGATTTATTAATATATTATGAGAATAATATATTAAAGGAGAAATCATATTGTTTAATTAATATTAGTCAAAAATTAATTGGTAATTAAGTTTGTGACTAAAAGAGATTAATTAAACTTAAGGGACTGGAATTGTAATTATAAGATAATTGCAATTGGGCTATGGATTACCTTATATTATAAGGTTGGACGAATTCTATGGGAAGACCCATTAGAAATCGTCCAAGGCTTATTAAAAAGGGGTTCATGGGTTGCTTAGGGCTTAAGCATCCAAATTAGGGTTTCCTTGTTAGATAACCCTAATAGCCTCACTATAAAAAGAACCCTTATGATCCAAAAACATGGTGAACTAATTAGTTAGGGTTTCCACACGTTTTGGGCAGCCTCCTTTTCTTCCCCTCTTCATCCTCTTGCTCTTGGTGTTTGTGAACCATTAGAGGAGTGACATTTGTGACTATAAGCTTTCTAAAGTCATTACAAGAAGGATTTGGGATTGTTATTGCTACATAACAATCAAGGTAATATCTTAAACCCATTATTATGTTAATATCAATTATCATATGCTAGAATTAGGGTTTATAGTCTTGGATGAATTGCATGTACAATAGATAAACCTAGATCCAAGCATTAGGGTTTATATGAGCACATGGGATGTTCTTATGACCAAAACCCATCAGTTCTCACCTTGACTCCTAGCTTATTTGATCTCCTTATGTTCCTTTTTATGGAGTTTATGGACCAAGAATGATGCCTTGTGGGATTTGGACATCCCCAAGCTAGATCCTTTCAGATCTAGGTGTGTTTAGTGAAGTAAAGGCATAAAGGTGGGAGCTTTATGCCATCAAACCTCCCCATGTAAAAATTAAGTGGTTATTATGGCCTTTTGAGCAAAAAGGGCCATGCAAGGGTGAAAAGGTAGCAACTTTGTGTGATATCCCGACCCTAGTTGGCTAGATCTGGGTCTTGGATGCCTTGAGTTTGTCTAAAATCATCTGAATGGTGTTGGACATAGAGAGACTCGACGAGTCAGTTGTGACACTCGGCGAGTCAGGCCAGTTCTTGCCCCAAAACCCTTCTGTTAAGGGTATGAGTTAAGTTTGGAAAGGGACTCGGCCAGTCTGAGTCCATAAGGGTCATGATGTTCATCATACTCGACGAGTTCAAGGAAGAACTTAGCGAGTCCAAGGCAATCTCCTTAGTTTCTGAAGATGGACTCGACGAGTTGTTCATACAACTCGGCGAGTCGGTTGATGTTGGTCCTGATTGTATGGTTAAAGGGGAACCCATCGAGTTCTTGCAAGACTTGACGAGTGGAGTCAGGGTTGTGTTTACAATCATGTCGGCGCCTTCCCGCAATCCTGAGATGTACCTAAACCACATTTCACACCATACTGTAAGCACAAAGCTTAGTGATTTCCTCAAAATACCACACACAAATAATTAGCCTTTGATGGCTATCTCGATAAGGACCCTCTCGTCATGTGTCTCAGTGAAGACCCTCCGGTCTTATGACTCGTTTTGGA